TTCAGCGGGGAAGGTGGGGCGGGAAGGGTGGCCTGCCCAGTCCGGCCGTCCGCTGCCGCGCGCCCACCTGTGTGCGTGCCCTTGTGCTTCTCGGTGTCCGCCTTCTGGTGGGAACGTTGCCGCGGGAGGGGGCCCGGCTAGGGCCGCGCGCCCACGTGCCTGAGCCGGTGCGTGGCCGACGTGAAGCACGAAGCTCTTCTCACACCCCACGCAGGGAAACTGGCGCTCCTGGGTGACGAGGGGAGGGCTTTTCTGGCGCCGAGGCGGGGACAGACGGGGTACCCCTTCCTGAGGCTCCTTCTCACGGTACGAGCACTTACCTTGCGGGCCTTGGGCATGGCTGCGGCGGGTGGAGACCTAGGAAGGGCCCTTCGGCGTCCTCTCCGGCTCCCTCCCTGCCCCAGGCGCACCGCTCTGCCCTCCGCTCACCAGGGAGGCTGCAGTGCAGGAGGCGACTGGACCCTGCAGGGGACCTTTGGCAATGTAGGGTGCTGGGTGACTGCCCCAGAGGGGCTTGCAGGGAGAAGTGGCCTCTCCTTGGACTGGGTGAGAGACCGGGCGTCCACACCAAGCCGCTGTGTGTATCCGCCCCCATGGACATTCTTGCCCTGACCTCTAGTCGGGTGCCCCGACCAATGTCTTCATTCGCCCCCTCCAATCAGAAACCTTTGCCCTTTCTCCCCCAGCCTAGTCACGCTGACCCTGGAGCCCCACACTCTCCAGTCCAGGCCCTCTCTGTTCCCAAGTTCCCCTGCAGGGAGCTCACCCTCTAAGGCCTTTCCTCCCCAAGGGTCTCCTCTTGGCACCTAGAATGATGGAGATATCCCCAGGTGAGTAAAAGGATAGAGCGGCCTGGTGCTGGGTCCTCAGCCCTGCCTCTACCCCTGGATCCAGTCCCCGTACTCCATTCTGTGGCCAGGTTCCTGTCAGGCACAGACCACCAAGTCCTGTCTGCTCCCACCCCAGATACACTACCTCCCAGCCTGGGGTCCCAAGAGCCACAGGCTCTGGCCCAGATGGGTGCTGTCACCAGCGGGAGCCCATGGAGGGTGGCAGCGGGCACACTCCCTCACTCAGACTCAGAGTTCTGTGGCAAACCACAGAAGCATTCGCTCCAGCTGGGCCCTGGGGAGGGAGATACCCAGCTGTTCTTGTTTCTAGACTGAGACAAGCCCAAGGTTAGGTAGGGGCTGACTCCTGACATGCCGGGCAGCCAGGGGCTCAGGGCCAGGCCCCAGGAAGGGTAGTGCGGAGCCTCAGACTCAGCTGGGTGGAATTACCCTGAGGGGACAGGAGGCACAGTGACCATCAGGATCTCGGGGTTAAGTCTGTACCATCCACGACAACAGCGCGTGTGGCTGCAGGAGCAGTTGCATGTGATGGGAGTGTTGGGCCCTGCCACTTGACGGTTATCTGGCAGGGGGTGGCGCTTCGTGGGTCCGCACTGGGTGCAGAGGGCAGGGCCTGGCTGGCATCTGCCTGGACCCAATCAAGTTTCTGCCCCACCTTCCTTTGCCACCCCTGGCACTGTGGCCTCCACACCAGTTGGACCTCTGCCTCAGCTGTGTGGTATCCCAGAGGACTCTGCCCCTCACTGCCCCCCGCAGCTTAGCTTGGTTTCTGCACAGGTCTCCTCACTGACCCAACACAGTGGCCCATCTGATGGTGTCCCCCTCGCCTAAGCCCTCCGTGGGCTCCCAGTGGCCTCCAGTTCTAAGCCCAAACTCTCCAGGCTTGAGAAGCTGCTTCCTGGCCACACACCCAGGGTGTTTTGTTCTTCCTTCCTGGGCATCACGCGCCACCTGCTGGCCCATTCTTTGTGCTTCTGCCCTTGGACAAGGCCCCAGCACCACCTCCTCCAGGAAGCCTTCCCTGATCTCGGCACATTTGCCTATTGGTCACTTACCACATTAGTGGCAGGCTCCCTCTTTGCCCAGTGCCTGTCTCCTCCACTCCACTGGAAACCCTCAGAGCCAGGCACCCGGCAGAGCATCCTGGGAGGCCTCCGGAAGTGTGTGCAGAACGGATGCCACCAGAACCTGTTGTTCCTGAAGCCCAGCGACTCTACCTGCATCCGTGTCTCTCGGGGGCAGCCCAAGTCGAGTCAGCCAGATGGGAAGTCATACCTGCTCCACACCTCTTCTCCTCTCCCAACCCCTGCTCTGTTAGACTGTGGGACACCCCCCAGGGCCAGGACACCACCCAGCACTGTTTTTCTGGAGCAGGGGTTGGGCACCCACGGCTGCTTGTGGTTCTCTGGTCCCCAGGCCTAGGCTCCTCCGCGCTCCTTGTCTGTGACTGTGTAAATACACTTTATTTTCCATCTTTCCCGCCTGGGCGACATGTGGAGTGTGGACAGGCAGTGTGCAAAATGGTGGTGGGCAGTGATCGGGGCACATGGGAGAGCCCCGCGGGTGCCTGCCTGGTCCCCAGGCTGCGTAACACTGAAGAGTGGGCGACCAGGAAGGGGGGACTGAGCAGGGGTCCCCACCCCAGGAAGCGCCAGGGAGATTGCTTGTGACGCTAGTCTACTGGAGGCTTCAGGAGCCCCACCAGGGTCAGCCCTGAGGGTCACAAGGCCCGGCAGGGGGAAGAGGTGGCCTAGGGGTGTCGTTGGACTTTGGCACTGTCCTCGGCTCTGACCCAGCAGACACGGGACCACCAGGCAGAGGGGAGGGAGGCAGCTCCCGGAAGCCCCTGTCCTGGGGCCTGGCCCCGGCCTGAGGACACAGGAAGTGGGGTGGAGGCCGAGGACCCCAGGGAGAGGTTCCCTTCTCTCGTGGGCCAAGACGGGTGACGTGAGCGTCTTCCAGGGGAAGATGTGGGGCACCAGGGAGGGGTCTCCTCGTGTCCTCGTGGCTGTCCTGGCCCCAGGGAAGCAGGGTGACACTGCCCAGACCTGGGCTGCTTCCCGCTGGCTACTGCCCCAGGTGGCCCTGCACACAGTGGGGGGGACTTTGGTTTCTGCTGCAGGGGCCACGACGACACCTGCACCAGGCAGGAAAGCCCTGCCTGGCCATCTGTCCCTAGCAGCCAGGCTCCCCTGGAGGGGGCCAGGGGCTGGTCAAGGGTCCTGTGTCGCCAGGGACACCGTGGGGTGCAAATGTCCAGCCCAGAGCTGGTCCTCCTTCCTCAGGCTTGCCCGAGCTCCCGTGCCCCTCCCAGTAGGGCCGCCCTTGTCCCAGAAGGAAGCCTGCTGGGAGGAGGGAGACTCCTGCTCGTTCAGTCCTGGGCCCTCTGGGTCGCTTGTCCCCTGCCCTCGATGCCAAGTGGGCGGCCCCTCCAGGCACCCCTGGAGTTCCAGAGGGCCCGGAGGGGTTCCCACCACAGTGGGCCAACACTGCTGGAGAGGGAGAGCCTGCCCGGGGTCCGGGGCCGCCTCAGGCCGGGCCCTACCCTCCGCCGCCTCCGGGCTTCACCCGGGGGGCCGAGCCACAGCGCCTGAGTCCTCAAGTGCAGCCGGGCTGCCGGCGCCCGCGGCGGTGGCCTCCTGCCTCAGTTGTCCAGGCCCTGGCTGTAGGGTGCGGCCAGCTCGTCGGCGTCGCTGTCCGAGCTGCCCTCGCTGTCCTTGGCCGGCCGCTCCAGCCGGCGGAAGAAGCGCGCGTCGCGCGGGGACAGC